AAATTGAATATTGGATTTAAGATTATTCGTACATTTTAGAATTTTGCAACGGGATTGATTAGTCGATTAAGTGCCATAATATTTTTAAACATAAGACAACCTAAAAGTTTTCTGGGTAATAATAAACATGAATTTCAGGGAAAAGTAATTGTTCTTTCCTTTCAGACAACATTTTACCTCTACCAAATATAATCATCATTCCAAGTTCAGTTACAAATTAATTCCTATTTGAGTAAACACAATCTAAGAGAAATGTATTTTAGAAACATTATAAGAGATCGTTCCTAGACATATTTATATAGACCCTTTAAAACTTACTTCCAGCAATACTAAATGATTAGAAAAACTAGGAATATTATCTAAAATGGTATTTAAAATCAATGTTTATGTTATAATAGACAAAAAATGCTCATAAAGTATTAGATGTGGCTATTTTGCTGCCGACCGCTCTGGTAGACGACCTGTAANCCAACAGGGGTCCCCAAATCAATCTTTTATAAGGAAATATTTTCCTAAAAAAATTCTCTCAAAGAAAAATGTCTGAAGTCAACATTACTGTACAGTACATGGGGCCCACTAATTCAAATTTACCTGGGTCTCATGAAGCTATAATATGCCACTGTTATTAACTTATTTCAATTTTTTTTTACTTTTAATAACTTGAAAGAATCATAAAACAAAGTAATAAGATTTATATATTAAAATTTTTTTAATGAAAACCATAAACTTGGTGTTTGACAAATATGATAATATATAATGATGGTACTCACATTAGNCAAAGAAAGTTATACTGCATACCAATTGTTAAATTTCACTATATACTACATTAGAGGACTGCAGTTTCTAATTTTTGTGAATTTTATCCCCCATAATCCTGGAAATAATGTTATGTTAATAAATAATTTTGTCGATTCAGTAAAAACTATTTTTAAAGCTGAATGTTGGTCTTTTTGGTCAATTGAGAATATAAAAAAGTATTGGAATTTATAATTCCCTTTTATTTGATAGTCAAAGGAATACTTATTAGTTTAGGTTTTGGCATTTTAAAAACAAAATTCTTTAATATAACTGTAAAATATAAGATTATAGTACTTTTCATATAAACCTCGAAACATCCNTTGGGTTTGGGTGTGTATTTTTTACAAAATGCCTATTATTGAGCTCGTTTATTCTTTCATGGTTGCCATGTTTGTCAGGCTCTCAACAAAGGTAAGCCCTGTTTTCAATTGCCATAAATCAGTGTGCAACCTGTTGGTCAATGACTGGTTGAATGGCCTCTGTGATTGAATTATTTTTTACGTAATGTAAACAAAGGTCTAATATAAAATGTTTTTGTTTTCAAGATATGCATAGAACAAACTTTATTTTCATATACGAATTTCGCTTTCTGTGCTATCATGTACTGTAATAAAAAATATCTAAGTCCAAAACGGCTGTAAATGGTCAACTACTGGTGCCATTATGCTATATTTAGTGTGCCAAGTTTGGTTATGTGGCAGTTGTAATAAATATAAATTCTTAAATAAATACATATTTAGAGTAGCACAAAAGTAACTTTGCAATTAAAATTTTCATTATAACTAAATTAATTTTGAATAGACAAGTTGTCTTTTTTGTATTCATGCATCATTTAAATCTCTGTGCATAGAAGTAAGTCTTATNCATAGCATGTAATTTTTGTCCTCTAAGAAAGTTAAGGCTGTTATACATGTTACGGAAATCCTCAAAGAATGTACTTAACAGACGAATAAAAATCGGATATAACTGGCTGGATCGAACATAGTAATTTACAAAACTTATTAAAATATTTCCCAACGTAAAAAGAATTATTTTTATTTAAAGGTGGATAGATAGAAAAAAAAAATCAAGGTTAATCCTCAAAGGATTTCCGTAACGTGTATAACAGTTTTTATATTTCATATCAATTGTTAAATTTCACTATATACTTCATTTTAAGGTTGCAGTTTCTATTTTCTTATCATTTTTATGATAACTAATATTATTTAGTAATATAATATACTAATATTATTTAGTATAATGTGTATACTTTGAACTAGAAAAGAGATTAATGGTAATCATTAATTTGGCTTTCCTACACCAGGGATGGAGAACCTGTGTCATTTTGTGGTTTCTAATGCTACCAGACAAAATATAGTGTGATAAAATTCAAGACACAAAATTAAACTTATGTTATGAAAGTACATTTTTCTTTCTCTTCTCCAATAAAATATGTAATTAAGTATGGTGTATGTATATTATTGGTGCATATATATAGGAAATATATATAATTATGCAACCTGCAATACATTATACAGGTGCACTAGGTCTTTCTGAAGTAGGATGAATCCTTCTAGTTAAAAAACTAATCATCACTATCCTGCAGTTAAGTACAGTATAGGTTTCTGCTGAGACATCAAAAATCTGATATTAACCAGTAGTTAATGTTAATGATAGTCCACTGTATTTAAATTTAAGGGGGAGTTCCTTTTAAGTGTGATAAGAAAGCATGATTTTCAGTAAACTACATACTGAAATGTAGATAGTTTTATAACTTATCAAATCCAAGAAACTTTTATCTTTGTCTTGTTATTTCCAGTTGTAAATTTGTTAATCCTCTTGACAACAATTTCTTACCTGACCATCTCAATTCCTGATTCTGCTTCATTTCCTTCCTCAGCATGTGACAGGTTATGTGAAATCATGACATTTTTTTGCCATTATTTCTGCCTTGTTGATGGTTTGGCATGTGCCCATGCTACAGCAGTCTTGCCAACAGCTTGCTTTACATTGATCTTTTGCTATACATAGTTATCAATGTTGCAAAAAATGATGCTCAAGAGTATGCTTCAGTATTTAGCCTTATTCCAAGATCAGCTGTAGAACAACAGTACATAGCACTCAACTTGCATGTTTTCCAGTGAGACCCAAATGAAGCAGTTGTCATCTGACA